TACTTCCACGGTTGGTCTGTACACAGAAAACGAGAGTACCTGCGAAAAACCTAGGGATATTGGAAGTTTCTGGGGTCGCACAAAGTTTTGTAACAGAATAGTTATATTATTATAGTTTGACACATAACCCGTCGTTTTCCTAGAAATTCCTGGAAAGCACCCATTACGTTCTGACTAAACAAAGTGACTTCAGGCTTTTTACAGAATCTGGAAGCTTTTTCAAGGGATCTGAAGAAATTAACCCGACTTTGAGCATCTTGGCCTTTTATTTTTGTTATTTGTAGACATATGTACTTACTTATTCATTTACGCTTGTTACCACTGGTGGAGGAGCATGAGCCGCTCACCAGCACTCACCATCCAACTCTGTCCTGAGCAGTGCCTTCCGATTGTTATTCAGCCCTTTGATGTTGGGTTTCAATTTCAAACGTATTGTGAACTTTGGACATCCGTTTTTTTGCTTTCCTTCAGGATTCGAAGTTAGAGCTTACCTCGTTATGCAGTTTGACGATATCCTCAACGTGTGTTATATCCACTTCCAACGTCTTTTTCTTATTTCTTATTCAGGTGGTTTTTTCTCTCACAGTAGAATATTGCTGAAAGCATCTGATCGACGGACACTGAGTGTCATACGTAGACAACTGTTAATAAATACTTGTACCTTTCTGATGATGGTCGCGGTAGTTCTCCAAGTTTCAGCCCTGTACATCGTAAGTGACCGCCTTGAAGTTCATATTGAAGATTCTCCCTTTGATATTGGTTGACAGTTGTTTTGAGTTCCATATGTTCTTTAACTCTAGGAATACTGTCCTTGTTTTGCCAGACATCGCCTTCACATCTGCATTGGATCTTCCTAGCTCATCGACGATGCTTCCCAGGGGCCTTCAGGATTTCATACCTTACAGAGTTTCGTCATCAAATGTAATGGGTTTGGTGTTATCCGTGTTGTATTTGAGGATCTTGCTTTTTCCCTTGTGTATTTTGAAGCTTACTGCTACAGAGGCTGTTGCATACTGGCTGTCTTCACCTACATTTGCTGGTGTGAATGGGCTAAAATAGCTAGTCCAACGTCCAAATCGTTTATCTTCACTCAAGATGTCCATTATACTCTGAGTTTCTTTAGAGATATCGAGGTTTTACAATCCAGTCAATATACGGGAGAATTATACACAGCGAATGTTTCCAACCTTGTCTGAAACCAGTCTGGAATGAACATTCTATACAAACTGCAAACATATCGCCAAACAGACCGAAACGATAAACTCACGAATATAGTCTCAATAGTATTAAAATTTGTAAATTGGTTATTTGTTCAATGAACTGTGTGATTCAGAATACATAGCCTGTAAGCCAGCGAAATTTCACTGAGCCCTAGCCAAATCATCCGCAGTTGGGTCACTGAATATCGAACAAATCATTGGTCCCTATCAATGACAATGACAACCAACACGCATCAGTTGATCGTAAGTCATGGGCTGGCCCATGTGGTGGCGGTCACACCTTCACTTGTATCTAATCCAGTATATTTTCCTAATAACGTTATCTGTGTTATACGGTCTTCAAAGCAGCAGTAGTACTTTTTAACGACCAAGGGGTAAAGCACGCTAGGTGCTCACTTCAAAAATGTGACTTCGAGGTTAGCTGTTGGTCGCACTATTCACGTCCACCTCGAGTAGGCCCCCAATCATTCGACGTAGATCACCTACGTTAGTAATCTACAAGCCAATAAACCATAGCCATGACATGTAGATACATACATAATGACACGCGTAAATGAACCTGAAAAGGTGTAATACACACAGGTGAATAATTTCACCCGTGAAAATGAGCACAATATGACTGAAATGAATAGTAAATAGATGCTTAATAGCCAGATTTATACATAAAGAAAAAGAATGTATAGGTGTGTGACGTGAACTCTTTAAAATTTCATGCTTGCTTCGTTAACTAGCCCAGAAGATCCACGTTTTACCATCACTGTCGATGCTCAAATATACCACTCCTTCAAACACTCATAAATTTCTCTCTTTTTTATTATTTTTGTATAATTTATGATTGTATGGAAGTCGGTGGTGACTAATTCTGTTTTATCGGGAGCATTTTTAAAACAATGTAGACGAATAAAATACTTTCTCGTTTCCAAAGATAATTCTAAGATAGACCTCTAGTCAAGCCATCTAAATGATCTATGAGATGTCCTACATAAAGCATGCTGTGTGTATCATATTGGCAGCATTATTTATTTTAGAATAATGGTATAAACAAGCAGTTTGTTACTGCTAACATACACCCAGAACGTTGATGCTAATACCTACACCATCACTTCAAAGACGACTCGTAGAAGTAGAGATCCTAATGTATCAGTTAATAATAAATGTAAAATCCCCGTTTCTAGCATCAAGGTTATAAGAAAGCACAAGTTGTTACTAGTTAAAGAACTTTAAGGTGATGTGTACAAAATTCGTCACCCAACTGAAATATTAAAAGTGAATCTCCAAATAAATAATGAACACCACATTTTCATTCAGATTCCTAATACTTCTTAGAATGGTAGGCAGTAGGGAAATAGGTGAGAAAAGCGACTTAAGATCCCAGTGTTGATGACTACTGGGGAGAAACAACGCAAAGACGATAGCGGCAGTGCACGATCCTCTCGCAACATAGTGACAGCATTTGAATGTAATATATTTAGTGCCTTGGTTCACTGCCGCTCAGTTCCTATGCCATACAAACAGTACTATCGGTTTTAAATTAGTTATAATTATCCGTAGTTCCGGTACGTTAGCCCACAATATAGAAAAACACAGCCAAAAAAACAACTAAAAGAAAGTTTAAGATCTCATTGTAAACGACTGAATAATTCCACACCAGTACATTGAGATCTTCAATCACTGTATAAACCAAACACGAGACTCTAGTGATATTGGTTTCTAACCACGCGTTCTTTGAATCTTAGTGGATAATTACTGAGAAGATTTAAACTTGTCATATAAATTTAAGAGAAGATAAGCAATGGTGGACGTAGCAAGAATCAGTAGAAATGATATGTCTCGGTAATGCAAGCGCGATCACTCCACATAACATATTCCACTTTGTGTTGAATATACTACCCCCCTTCCAGTCCGAATATGTTATTCAGAAGTGCTAGACATCATATTGCTGATCAGCATGAGAGTACGAGTCAGTGTAGACAGTAATTTTACCTTCGCGTAACATCTTATGGATGAGTTGTCACAACATGACATATCTACAATCTTGGGATTAGGTCTATTATTACAGTAGCAGACTTAAGTCTGCTAATACCATGTACACCGTTAAAAGTACAAGACTATGAGAACAACAACCTGAGCTCATACATAAATGACATTTCGGAATTTTGCCAGTACCTTAATATTTGTTAACAGCAATGAGCAGTAGGCGAGCATTGGGAAACTAAATGGCCAATAATGGCTCCTGAAATTATTAAGAGTTTTAAGGGTAATAATATTGTTTTCACTACTGTTCTTGATCTTTATTAATGAGCTGTGAAATAAAAATAACACGTTGACACCGATTTATGCAAACAGCACACGGAAGTGGATTATCGTAGATAGCGGGAAGAATACATTTGAACTTAAAACGTACCTAACAACAATAGAGGGATGGGCAGTAGGCACTGAGTTAAAAATTTTGTCAAAATATCATGTCAAGGACATTATGCCCCATCTAATACAAAAAATCTGGGTCCTCTAAGAAGATCCGCTTCTGAATGTCTGCTCGGAGCATGATCTCAGCCTAGTAAGTACAGTGAACTTAAAAAACGATTGAAAATACATAGGGGATACAAACAACCTAAGTTCAATTCTTCATTTTATCCGAAGACAACATGACAACATGCTCAAAAGTTGTTCTTAACTACAGTTTAAACATACGCAAGGCCTTACTTTTAAGTCCACAAGTTTGTTGAAGCTCCTCTCTTAAAGTCGTTTATTGTCGTCAACGTTTTTATAGCATGGTTGTTTTCTACGATATGAGGTTAATGACCCCATCCCAACTTTTCTGTTTTACCCATGCTTGGGATCGGCGTTAACCCTAGGGAATCATTACGCTCTTTGAAGAAACCGCGGAAAATTGCACGCTCCCATTTTTTCTCGTAAACCGTTAGCTCCCATAGGAATACTCTCACAGCCGGAGTGACGTTAGCCCTCACAGTAACTTGCTTCAAGAAGAGACTTGAAAACCAGTACACTCCTGCTTAGAGCAGTTGTACCTGATGCATGTCTCATACTACACCTACTGTTACCATTACGTCATATCAGCGGTTACCTCCTGTCCCTCGTTTTAACCTCTGTTTGCCTTTCTATTCCTAAAATTAGGTTCCTTCACTCTGACTGGATCACCAAATAATTAAATTATTATTCTTGAGACAATTGCAGTCTCTTGAAAATCAGATTATGACTATATTACTTTCACATTACATGTAATCAAGTTTCTGTCTAGTAATAAGGTAAGTGCTTTGGGTCAAACGCATTTTTCGAATTAAAAAATATACAAATCAATAAATAACTTGATACACATGGTCCCCTTTATTATCTTTAAGACAGCAAAAACGAAGATTGGTGCAGTTCTGCAACATATTGTCACCAGGCTATTCACTGACTTGAACGGCTGTGTAGGGAGACGCGTTTTGAGAAATTTCATAAACATAACTCCCTTTATTATTTTAATGAGAGCAAGAACGAAGATTGCTGCACCAATCTTGCTCTCTTTAAGACAATAAAGAACCACCAAGCTGACGAATTAATGTAGTCAAGTAGCTCGACCGCCATTCATTAGACGAAATCGGATACCTGTAACCGTACTGAAACAACAAGAAACAAGCACAAATAAATCAATCGACTTATATAAAATCGTAAAAAGTATGCCAGTTATTGGATATTTAAAATGTTTTTAATGGTTCAATGCTGCACGTAATCATGACAAAATACTCGTTCTTTTACAAATGGTGCGCAATATGTTATAAAACACCAAGTAGTTTAAGTGCAAGAGATGAACCCAGAAGATTCTATGGATGATGATTATTTAGAAAGTTCGAAATCACGATTTTCATTTCATAGAACTGAAGACAAAAAACATAAAGGAACAATATGCTGCGGTCACAATACATGTCATTTAGACCGCTACAATCTCATTAGCAGCGTAAAACCGTTCACCGCTAGACCATATACATTGTACAAAATAATTTTGACAACGGCTGACGTTCCTGGTGCTGGTACATCGGCTCAGGTATTGAACTTATATATTTTAATTTTCGAAGATCTACATAACACTTAAAGGTGAATGGGGGTCTTCCACTCGTCAGAGGCTCAAGAAGGAAAGGGTTTCAACAAGAAATTCACGTTTTTACTTACATCCTGGCTCATCAAACACATTTTCAGTGGTTTCTCCAGACTTAGGAGGTTTACATTCTGTTTTTGTTGAGGTAATATAATCGACATTTCTGTCATCAATGTTTACGCGTTTGTGATTTACCTCTTATTGAGATTGAACTAGTATAGAAATGTTGTACGAAAGTTTTAATTTCAGATAAGATATTTATCTCTTGAGTATTTAGTTATATGAATAGTTTTATTGAAAATATACATATACTTACAAAGTAAATTTACTGCTAAATAATCTATTATTGTGATTGCGTTCGTTGACAAAATAATCACTTTCTCTTAAAAAACTCATGCTATGCAAACGCATGTAGCCTTAGAGGAAGTAAACCGTGTGATCACTATTAGATATGAGATATGAGGTAGATAGGGAATTTCAGTTTACCGGTAGTATGTGGAATTTAGTTGTGCAAACACTTATTCTATCATAACTTATGCAGGCGCTTTTGACTTATATTGAAACTCAGTATTTCTAACTTCCGGAGCATTTTGATTAACTTATTGAAACTCATGTCTTATTCATTCATCTATTACCGGGAGGTTCACTTATCGACTTAGAATACTCTGATGACATAGTTCTGTTTGATGAAGATGCTGATAAAATACGGATTCTTCTGGTTGTACTGAGCAACAATGCCAGAATTTTTGGATGCGCTTCCCCCCTCTAAATGTAAACTGTTGCCTCAGGATTGACCTGCGTCGACAACTTCACTTATCTTGGAAGTCATATCAGCCCTAATGGGTTGGTGTTTGACGAAATCTCTTAACGGGTTCAGATAGCTCGTTGACAACTTACGTCACCTACAGCGAAGGTGAGGTATCCGCCTATCAATAAAGAGAGATGGCTGAAAGAAAGTTAGGGGAGGCCGAACCGAAACTTGGCATCAGTCACTGAAGCCACTAACTTCTAATCTAAGCCATATTGGCAGATGCAGACTATTCGGTTTGGGTCCGCGTGACTATCGTAACCAATGTTTGGAGACTCTGGGTGACATAGCTCAAAATCAATCACAATAGTGGCAGTGCATATACTCTTTGTCTTCTGTTAAACTGTGCGATTAAAATTACTTTATACCTCTCTAATTCTTTCTTCCTGTATTATTTCCTTATACACAATTGTCCTTTTATATATTGCTATCACTGAAGTAGCCACTCCTATAAATTTGGTGTTTATCTTGTGGTGTTAATGAGGTATGGTGACTTGGACTGATGCATATATGTGCCTGGTTCTACGTCGTAGCTGACTGACCGACTGACTGATAGGTTTATTTTTATGTAGCCTTTTAAAACAAATATTTTGATGGAAATTCTGCAATCAAAGTATGCTAAAGAAAAAGCTATGATACATTTTTAAGAAGATTTCTATAATTTTTACGATTAGAGTGCCAAGTCATGTACTTTACGTACAGATTAATCTCCAGTTTAAAATTATTGCCTGACATAAATGAGAATGAGCTGCAAAATGAATTAACCGACGTAAACTGCATGTTGCGTTCATCTGCTTTAAGATAGGAGCTGTGAGTCCTCGTATGCTTTAGCAAATATAGCGTAAACTGGTATTCTTACTCTCAAACCCGCTTTCGCACAAAACAGGTATACAGCAAAAATGTTTATCATGATGGCAACTTTTGACTCAATAATTACTCAGTCAGCTCAACTTAAAATGCTTATTTGAGGTAGAATATAGCCAAATCATCTGGATGTAAAGGGACAAAACACTAAAAGAAATATATGGCTTAACATCAGGTTAAGGATGGACATGTTGAAATGTTTCACTTAAGAAATGGCCTAAAAATACCTAAGAAACCAAACCATATGTCAAATATTTCGTGAATATGATTTAAGTAAGTGTAAAAATTAGTTTGAAGTTGCTGCAGTGTTTTGTTTTGGTCTGTTTGTATATCCGTTCAATATTTCATAATCAGAACTAAAGTAAGTCATCATTCAAATAGAAAAAGTGGAACATAAGTTCACTGAAAACTAAACAACTACTTGTATGGACGTTAGAGTTTGTTTGGGCGCTAAACGTATTCTATGTAACTACTTATGATTGAACCACAGCGTTTACAAATTACTGGGAAAATCCAGACTAATGACTCGCTAAGTTCGCTTGATTTTCTTTACATAAGCATGAGATTATAATTATTTTCAATCAAAGATTGATAGTGGCTAGCAATGGAATCCAGGAGTGTTTTGTCCCATTTAAGACTCACCAGTTAGGTGTTACTTCATTTCTGAGTTGATGTACACTCCGAGACCAAAATCCAGTACCGTTTGCTAAAAATACAATCTCTTTATTCACTTAGCTACTGGATTCATGTGGCCACTGGCTTATGCAATGTGGTCTGCTGTGCATTTGAACGTGTAAATTTCAGGCGGAAAAATTTACGGCGTACACTTGTAAAAAATTGAAAACTAAAAATGCTTATAATTACTACAACATATCATTTTGTATCGGTTATAAAGTGTGTGCTGAACTAGAAAAAATGATTTTCAACAGACTGAAAGTTATGATTATATATTTACTGAATTTTAGGATGTAAAATCTTCTAGCATTTTGATCAATACCTGTAAGCAAAGGATACTACGTATTTAAATAATCGATAAACGAGAAATAAAACACCTGACATATGCAAGTACTCTAGTCTACTCAAAAATTTCGTGAGGAAATCAGTGACAGTAAGGATAATTATTTGACTGAGATCTCCCGATAAACGAATTATTTTGTGCTGAACAATTGTTGCACTTGAACCTAATAATTACAGTTATTATAATTCATGTGCTCTTAAAAATATTTTCTACAATTAGCGTCGCTAAAGTCAAGTATCTGACATTTAAATACGTTACGTAAAAACTACTTCACGAATATGTATGTGTATACGTTCATAAGGTTTCTCAGTTATGAATGATTCTAGTTTCCACTATCCCACTAAAAGTATCCATTGATAGATCACTTGCCTTGCTAATTCACTGTTGACATGATCAATATATAGATGAAAATTTTACTTTCTTCCCCTCAGAAAGTGGTTTGTAGAGCGCAATTTTTTCCGTTTACCTGTGTGCATAGGCTTCATTTTATAAATGCCTTTCCCACATATTTCAGCAACTAAGGAGTTATATTCTTAGTTAATCCTAATAACAGAGATAGGCAGTTAGAACAAAATTAGGAATTTAATAACTGATAATAATGACGGTTATTTAAAATAAAGTAAAGCAACGAAAAGCCACTAACTTTTTATAGATTTAACTTGAAATTATGGTGGAAGTAACTTACAACTTATTGGTTTCTTTTTTTATACATCAGCATGATAGTATGAGAAAAACCGACAGCTGGCTCCTGGAAAGTGTACAAGTCTTTCATCCTCTTACTAAGAAACGTTACATGTTTATGTGTAACCACTGGTTTTCCTTATATAAGGAAGATGGCCTTATAGCACGTGAATTATTTGGGATACGAAGTGCAAAAACAAGTAAATTGTGAATAAGATAATTAAACAATGCCATATATCACTTTCTTAACTTTCAGAATACTCCATTGTAACTGTGACTGGAGATCAAGAAGGGTCTGGAACAAATAGCAAGGTATATATAACAATTTATGGAAGGACTGGAATTACTCCCAGAATAGAATTAAGCCAAGAAAATAAAAGTACAGGAAAAGATATCTTGTGCGCACCCTTTGGACGTGGTACAAGTACAAAATTTATTGTCAAAGCTCCTAATGTTGGTGCCATTACAAATATTCGTATAAAGCAAGATGAATCGGGAAACGAACCACATTGGTTTTTAGAACGTGTTGTAGTTACTGATATGTCTTATCCCCAATGGACTTATTATTTCCATCTTTCATGTTGGCTTTCTAGCAAGTATGGTGACGGTAAATCATGCAGACTTATCCGAGGCTATAGAGAACCTACTGGAACAGGTATTGGTAAGTTGCATTTGTATTAAGCCGAAACAATGTTTCATCTCTAAGAGTAAATAATTTGTTCACTATATATGGAAATTTGTTTTTTTCATATATTAAACATATTGATCAAGATAGCTTTTATTCCTTCTAAAATATCATAGTTAAACTCGTTCAGCATGCATGTTTGACTCACGAGGTGTTGTTCTGGAAAAACATAAGTTTGAATATTGGCCCGAGCATCCTGGTAACAGAGTCAGAGTGCCTAGTAATAAACTGTTAAGTAGTTAAAAGTCATCATATATATTACAGAATAATGAATGGAGTGATAATCTAGTGATGATAAAATCCTATTATTAGTCAGTTTTGTTGATTTGAGCATTCAGTGTCGATAATCCAGGAGTTTCTAGTCTAAAAGTAATCGTCATCCAGTGTTTTATTAAACTTTAGTCATCGAATCTAAGTAATTTTAGCGCAGACTTAAGTAAGTTGAATAATTATAGATAACAAGGCAGGATGCACGTTTACGTTGGCGGGGTTTCGGAATCATAAGTAGCGTATGCTTAAGATCTAATTCAGATTCAAGGTCAAGGTTTGCGGATTTCACATGAAGCAGTAAAGCCTTAAGTATCTGGATCAGGATCTATTTCTCCTCTTTTTTAGAATCTCAGTCCTTTATCGGATAGCTGACTAGAGAACTAAATTATATTTACTTACTTGTTTAAAATTATCATTACTAACTGTGCAAACCTTTAGCTCAAGAACTCTGATTGCTATCAATAGAAATAAATGTCAATCAAGTTTTTTAGACAGCTGACTGTCTTCGGTAATGGAGATAAAATTTTCTCGTTTATATTTGGAAATGCAGTGGATGGAAATGATTTATTTTATCATGAATCGGTTTAATTAGTCCTACTATTAATATGTCTGTATGTGCTTAGTTTATTTTACTTAATTCTTGTCCTAATGCTAATAATAAAATCTTACGCTCACAGGTAAATGCCACACTTTTCATACAAACACTATAGGTTATATTTAATGTTTATGTAACACTCACCTAATTAAAATGGATTTTCATCATTCGCAAAGATAGGTCTACAAACTTTCCTGATGAAGTAACAGATCTACTTAATCCATCATAGTCAACACCTAAGAACCTCGATGATGTCTAAATTTAATTTTCTACTGAGAAATTGATGTTCAAAATAAGTACATAGGTAAATTAAATCGAATTTAAAAAAAGCAAATTTCATTTTTCAGTA